TTGTCTGAATCATGATACAGATGGTCAGGTGAGACCCATGGTTGTGAGAAAGCATTATGTGTGCTTCAAACATGGGGAGTAGGTAGAGGGGCTTCTGAAATGATTCTGCATTCAGCCAGAAGGCCATGAAGTCCTAAGAGTTCACTAAGGCCACGTATATAAATACCTGTAAGTCTCACACACCTCAGGCATTTAGTGTCATTTATGTAAATTGTAGTTAACTTGTAACTTCCTGTGTGAAGAGGCTGAATGCTTTGGACTTCTTTCCCATGTATGGCTGCTTTCACTCCATAAACATACTTCTGGCACAGAGATAAGGCCTTCCACAAATGGAAACCCTGGCTTAAGCACTCCAGACAGGTTTCTGATATGATATGACACACACTTACCAGACTCAGTGTAGCTTGCATGGGCAGGGTGCAGGGACAAGCAGACGTGGACCCAAGCAGGGACTACTTAGGATCCTGACAGTGGACAGGTTCAAAGCCTTCAGAGGACTTCTCTTCGTGGCTGGTCCTGCTTGCTGTCAGTAGCTGCCCCTTCTCCTTAAAGAACCTGAGATTATCCCATAGCCCCAGAGATTCAGTGATATTTTAAAGATGTCTCCCACAAAACATCCCTAAGGTCAAAGGAAAGTGAGCCCCTGTCCCAGGGGCTGTAAGCAAAATTCCTTTTCAAAATTCACATGAGAGGACATCAGTAAGAACAGCAGGGTAAAACCTCTGAAAATCCTCTCTCCATGAAAGCGATGGGAACACTGGCAAAAACTGTCTAGAAATTAACCAGAGGCTTGCAACAATCCAGAAACATTTATTAAAGAAAAGTGGTTCCACCTTGGTAAGAATAGCACGTTTTGTGATGTTTTAATTCACCCTATTTTCATCCCCCTTTTCCTAGCTCCAGGATAGCCTTGGAAATGAAAAGCCCCATAATCATGGTAAAATCCAGGAGTCTAGCAACAATTGGAGGGTACAGAGTGGGGTTGGAGCTCCTCCAAAAAGCCCCATTCCCGGTGAATTGTCATTATTTGACCTGTCTGGCAGTTCCATATAAGTCCTCATCTCAGGGCTTGTCTTTGACATTGCTTAAAGTGTGCCCACTGTGAACAACCTTTTCCCTAGGTGAGTTTGTTAAAAATAATCAGCAGCAATTGTTTAAAACCTCAGCTTCCTGAGTTGGCTAAAAGAGTTGGAACAAACAACAAGCTGACCAAAAAACTTAGGAATAGATGGGGAATGAGATATCCATTGGAAGTTCTGGAAAGTTTCTGAAGAACATAGAAGGCCACACACATGTATAGGGCTATGTGCAGGCCTGGGGAGACCTGAATTCCCTCAGCTTTTTTTTTTTTTTTTTTCCTTTTTAAGTAGCATGGAGCCCAGCACTGGGCTTGAACTCACAACCCTGAGATCAAGACCTGAACTGAGAACAAGAGTCAGATACTTAACAGACTGAGCCACCCAGGCCCCCTGAATTCCCTCAGTTTTTACCTCTATATGACCAGGAGAATCTATACAAGCCTCCCTGGCATGTGCACACACACACAGCCCCTTGGCAAAGACTGGGAGACTTACTGGTGCAAGTGTTTAAGGAAATTAGTTCTAGATTGAACTAATGTTCAGTCATTAGCTGACCATTAAGCTAGCAGCAGAAACTTCAGTGGCCACACACATCAAAGAACATAGGCTTTACAGAATTATTTCAGGAAACTCTAAATAATCAACAACAACAATAAACCCTGGAGAGGACAGAGTATCTGGTTTCCAAAGTTGCCCCATCATATTATTAAATTTTTCCAATTTTCAGCACAAATTATGAGACATGCAAAGAAAAAGTATGGCCCGTGAAGGGAAAAGGCAATAGTAGAAACCATCCCTGAAGAAGCCCAGGCATTGGTCTTATTACACAGACTTTAATTCAGCTATTTAAAATGTTTAAAGAACCAAAAGAATGATGAGAATGATGTGTCACCAGAGAGAGAATATCATTAAAGAGGTATAAATCGTTTTTAAAATAGAGCCAAGTAGGAATTTTGGCTTTAAAAAGTACAATAATGCAAATGAAAAATTCAGTAGAGATGTTCAAAAGCAGTTTTGAGCTGGCAAAAGAAGGAATCGAATATGAAATCGATTAAGATTATCCAGTCTGAGGAACAGAAAAAAAAAAAAAAAATGACGAGGGGCGCTTCTGAGGTGGCTCAGTCGGTTAAGTATCTGCCTTCGACTCAGCTCCTGATCCCAGGACGCTGCTCAGTAGGGAGTCTGCTTCTCCCTGTCCCTCTGCCCCTCCCCCCTGCTCATGCACACACGTGCTCTCTCTCAAATAAATAAAATCTTAAGAAAAAAGGAAAAAGAATGAAGAAAAATGAACAGTGCTCCAGAAATGTGTATGTATACCAACATATACATAACAGGAGTCCTAGAAGAGAGGAGAGAGGGAGGCAGAAATCATATTGGAAAAAATTGTGGCCAAAAACTTTCCCATTTGATGAAGAACATTAAAATGCATCCAAGAACTCCAACAAACTCTAAGTGGGATAGACTCAAAGAGATCCACACCAAGACACATCAACCACTAAGATAATAACTCTAAATACATAGTAAAAGAGACAAGGTAATAAAAAAATGGAGAAGGTAGATAGAAAGCATATAGAAAACAAATACCGAAATGACAGACATAAATCCTACCTTACCAGTAATTTCATTAAATGGATTAAATACTACAACCAAAAAAGCAGAGACTGGCAAAATAACAAAAACAAATCAAACATAATCCAACTTTATGCTGTCTATAGGGACATACTTTAGATCCCAAAACACAAATAGGTAAAAGTAAAAATATGGAAAATATATATCATGGAAATAGTAGCTTAGAGACCTTGAGTGGCCATACTAATATTAGAGAAAATACACTTTAAGGGAAAAAAAATGTGGGGCACCTGGGTGGCTCAGTTAAGTGTCTGATTCTTGATTTCAGCTCAGGTTATGATCTCAGGGTTGTGATATCGAGCCCCACATCAGGCTCTGCGCTGGGTGTGGAGTCTACTTAATTAAGGCTCTTTCTCCCTTTGCGACTCCACCCCCTACCCCACCAGCTCACGTGCGTGCTCTCTGTCTCTTAAAAAAAGAAAAGAAAAATGTTACTACAGGCAAAGAAGGACATTTATAATGGTAAAAAAATTAATCCGTCAGGCAGATAGAACAGTTATAAACATATGCACCTAGCAACAGAACCCCGAGATACATGAAGCAAAACTGGCAGAACTGAAGAAAGAAATAGACAATTCAACGATAGTTGGAATTTTCAGTCCCCCATTTTCAGTAATTGAAGAACTGGTCAGAAGATCACCAAGGACATAGAAAACACTGTAAACCAACTAGATCTAACAAATATAGATAACTCCACCCAACAAAAGCAACATACATTCTTCTCAAGTACACATGGAACATTCTCTGGAATAAACCATATGGTAGACCTTAATGACTCAGTAAATTAAAAATTATTGAAGGGGCACCTGGGTGGCTCAGTTGGTTAAGCGACTGGCTTCGGCTCAGGTCATGATCCTGGAGTCCCTGGATCAAGTCCTGCATCAGGCTCCCTGCTTAGCGGGGAGTCTGCTTCTCCCTCTGACCCTCCCCCGTCTCATGTTCTCTCTATCTCATTCTCGCTCTCAAATAAATAAATAAAATCTTTGAAAAAAAAATTACTGAAATCAGGGGTCCTCGCTGGCTCAGTTGGTAGAGAGTGTGACTTGATATCAGGGTCATGGATTCAAGCCCCACTTTGGATATAGATACTACTTTTTAAAAAATTAAAATTATTGAAAGGTTTAACGGTGTCAGCATTGGATAGAAACAGAAGATAACCTTTAAGAGTGATATAGGAATGAAAACTACCATCTGACGTAGGTAAAGGTAAGATTGACAGAACGGATGGATTCCCAAGGGGCAGGAGGACACTTTTAGGATTGGTGGATTAATTCATTATCTTAATTGTGGTAATGGCTCCAAGGGTGTATACATAGGTCAAAACCTATCAACGTGCACACTTTAAATGTGTGGCTTATTTTATGTCAGTTATACCACAATACAGAATACAACTGTTAAATACAAACATAGAAGATGAAGTTGGAAAACATTTGCAGGCATTCCTTGAAAACCCATATTCTGGGGGGATAAATGATTCATAGGACTCATGGAAACTCAAAGGATCTTTTTTTTTTTTTTTTTAAGATTTTATTTATGTATTTGACAGAGACAGTGAGAGAGGGAACACAAGCAGGGGGAGTGGGAGAGGGAGAAGCAGGCTTCCGCCGAGCAGGGAGCTTGGTCCCAGGACCCCGGGATCATGACCTGAGCCGAAGGCAGACGCCTAACGACTGAGCCACCCAGGCGCCCCGAAACTCAAAGGATCTTAAGGCTGGAAGTCCCCTAGGATGTCCAGGCCTCCCGGCCCCCCAGGAATCCGGTCTAGATGTGGGGAGAGGGGTAGCGAGGACAGACCACTCCCTCACCATCGCAGTGAAGTCTTCACAACTTAAGAGTTGTGAGTTGTGGGCAGTCGGTCTGGTGGCCAACATCTGCTTTTTTCCAGAAGTCAGGGTCAGCATCAGGTATCAGCATCGGAAAATGATCAAGGGGAACAGGAGGGGAAGGAATCTCTGAAGACCACCCTCCTCCAGGCCTAATCGACTGCGCGAATAAATGCCAAAACAGATCACAGGCTGAACAGGACGTGGAGCTGACGTGAAGCGGATTTCTGCCTGCCTTCCGCGGAGGGGGGGAATGGGTGGGGCGGCCGCGCTCTGGCCCTGTACAGTTTTAGACCGGCCCATTCATTCCATGGTTTAGGTTTTCAAGTCGACCCTGTAAAATCGAAGGGCCAAGGTCCGGCGGAACCAGAGGAACTACATTTCCCAGCAGGCTGTGGGCGCCGGCGTGCCTGCCCTTCTTCCCGGCGCGTGCGGAGCGGTAGCTGGCTCTCGGTGTGCAGGCGGACGCATGGATCCCGCCGGCCGGTGGCAGAATCTGCCCAGCGGGCCTAGCCTAAAGCACTTAACTGACCCGTCTTACGGGGTCCCGCGGGAACAGCAAAAGCCAGCGTTGCAGGAACTGACTCGGGCTCATGTTGAGTCCTTCGACTACGCTGTGCGCGAGGGGCTCAGCCACGCAGTGCAGGTGAGCGCGGCGTCCTCCCAGGCTCCCGTCGGCTCTGCGTTCCCTGGCGCCGCTTCCCCGCTGCGCGGCCCGCGACGAGGCGAAGCTCGAGGCGGGCAGAGGAGAGGGGCCCCGCGGGGCTGGGGGAGGGAGGCTGGTGGCAGGATGCGTGTGTGGCGCTGAGGGAGAGGGAGATCCAGGAGGCGGGGGTGAGTGGGGCCTGGGCGGAGTGGGGCACTGGCCTCGGGTAGGGGTCCCAGAGAGATGGCTGGAAGGTCCCAATATAATCCCAAATAGTTGTACCCCTTGATCGCGCCAGACTCCCCGCCGGGGCCTGGCACTTGTAGTCGAGTCGACTAGGGGAATACTAGATGTATTTGTGATGGGAACCGTAGTGTTTCGTAGGACAGTTTCAGCGTGCGGTGAGAGTGAGGAAGTGCCCCGGGTGGGTGTGCTTCCCAGCCATTCACAACGCACGCGCTTTCGTATCACTGGGAGTTTTACTTCTCCGAGAAACTTACCCGAAAAGGTTCTGAGCCTATTCGCACATAGACTGTACTGTGGGAGGTCATCCTTCCACGGTTTTCTTCTCTCAGAGCTTTAACGGGAGAAACTACTGGACGCCTGTTCTGAATTAGGTAGGTGGGTGTTGAGGAAGATACAGATGAGCACAGAAGCGAGATTGAGTAGCAGTAACACTTGCTCAACATTAAGGGATTGATCTAAAGGATATGGTAGCAGAGTTCAAGTGAAGAGGTGGTGGCGGGGGAGGTCGTGTCTCATTTAGTCAGCATAGCCAGTGTCTCCAGGTACTAGGCTCTGAGGGTGCGGAAGAGGCAGTCCTGTGTGAGACACAGTTCTTGCTTTTGAGCGCTTGGTCTCATGTTTTGCAAGTGGAGTGGAGGTGGTGGAGACATGGAAGCAGTGCCAATACTCTTGAGAAATGCTCTGCCAAGCAGAGTGTAGGGTACTTGGGGAGCACATAGGAGGTGCGGCTAATCCAGGTGCTTGAGAAAAGGCGGGGTGAGATGAATTGAAGGCGGAGGGGGGGCGGGGAGTGCATTCCCTCCAGGGGAAGTGGAAGAGCACAGCTCAGGGGACACTACTGTGTGGGTTTGTTGGGAAGGATTTGTGTTGTGAGAAATAGGGATAACGGAGAGCTTTGCCAGTTTCTGATACTTGAACTCTCCAAATAATATGTGAGCCATTGAGGTTTCTTTGAAGATTAATTAATACTCCTTCACCTTTTGGCAAAAGATGAGGCTGATGGGAAATATTTGTATCTGTGAGGAAAACCATATCTAACTAAAGGTTAATTGGCACTGGGGTTTATTAAAATGGTGAAAAAAAGAGTCCGGGGTTGAGATGATCAAGGAAGGCTTTCTCTAAAATATAAAAGCACATGTACATAAGAATTTTTTTTTTATTCTTATGTTAATCCCCATACATTACATCA